CCGATGGTGCAGGACCAGGCAGTGCTTCGGTCTGTTGTAGACGGGTTGCTGTGAGTCAGAACTGACTCAAGGGCCCCAGCATCTCCAACAACAGACCCTCTATGTGCTCGGGGTGTGCTTTGCAAAACATTATCCTGAAAACAAAAATAATCTGTGAACAGTCTCTGAAGATGTTAATTTATCACAAAGGTCATGAGATCATACGTGAATCGCCATATCTGTAATGTGTGTTTATTCTTGCCGAACTCATGATTTATGTAAAGAATAAAAATGTTTTCTGATGTGAAGAGCTCAAGTCCTTTCATCAGAAGACCTGATGGGACTCTACTAGGCAAAATTATTTCTGGGAATCTCCAAATATCACGTGGTGATTTAGCCACGTAATCTATTTGGCTGTGTCTCAGTTTACACATATTCTAATGGCTATAAGCATGGTACATTTATTTGAGAGTAATTGTGAAAATGAATTGTGGTCCTGGGGAAGTCTTTAACATACTGAGGACCATCAAGAAAACAAACAGGTCTGTCTTGGAGAGGGTGAAGCCAAGATTCTCCCTGAAAGCTAGGATTTTGAAGCTCCAGTTCACATACTTTGGGCACGTGGCCAGGAGAGATTAGTCCTTGGAGAAGGACGTCATGCTTGGAAAGATGGAGGGATAGCACAGGAGAGGAAGACCCCAGATGAGAGGATTGATGCAGTAACTGGGGCAATGGGAATGGGTGTGTTGGAGTCAGTGAGACTGGCTCAGGACAGGGCTATTGTATATAGGGTCTCTATGAGTTGCAGATGATTCTATGGCAAATAATAACAACAACAACAACAATATGTAAAATGATGAGAAAGAACCTTAGTACTTCTCAATTACTGTATGTCTTGGCTACTGTTATAAACACCTCTCTCACTGTTGTTACCACCAGTAATATCACCATCCCTCTTACTACCATGACCATCATCATTAACATCACTACTACCATTTTCACCACAATTACCATCAACACCACCACCACCACCAGTAACACCAGTATCAGCATCACAGCTGCTACCACCACCATTACTATCTTTATCTGGGTTCTCCAGAGAAGTAAAATAAACAAAGCAAATATTTTTATTGCTGTCTCTCTGTTTCTGTCATTTTAAAGACTAAGGTGTACCAGATCCAATCCATTCAATTATTTTCTGCACATCTGAAAGTTGGACAGTGACTAAGGATGGCAAGAGAAGAATCAATGTCTTTGTGTCATGATATTGAGAAGAGTCATGAATATTCCATAGATTTCCAGCAGAACAAACACACCTATCTTGGAGGCGATGCAGCAAGGTGTTCCTGAGAGGCAAAGACCCTTTGAGCATGTTGTTAGGAGGGACCTTCAGGCTTGGAAATGTAGAGCATCAGTGTAAGAGAGGAAGACCCTTAACAAGATGGATCAACAGTAACAATGGACTCAAGTATATCAGAGATGATGAGGATGGCACAGGATAGGGCAGGGTCGAGGTCTGTTGTTGATAGAGTCACTGTGAGTCACAGTCAACTTAGATGGCATGTAACAACATGTCTAGATACCTATATCTATATGCTGTATTGTTGTTAGGTGTCATTGAGTCAAGTATGACTCATAGCGACCCTATGAACCCTGAACTCCATCCTACCCTGTGCCATCTTTAAACGTCCTGACACACCAGAGCCCATTGCGACAGTAACCATGTTTAATCTACCTGGTTGAGGGTCTTCCTCTCCTTTGCCGACTCTCCAGCCTTCCAAGCATCATGTCCCATATAGGGAGATTTTATAATGACATAGCAAGATGAGCTCTGGTGGCGCAATCCATAGAGAGCTACACTGCTAGTCAAAGGGCCACACCTCTCCGGTGGTTCAAATCCACCAGCTGCTCCAAGGAAGAAAGATCTCCTCCCATGCTAATTTACAGCTTCCACGAACCCATTAGAGGGTCAGTGATGAGTGAGTTCCCTCTTGAAAGCTATGATTGTGACTTTTGGTATATAGAGAGAAATATCTGTATATGGAATGATTGTGTTTTAAGAAGATAGCTCAAATGCATATGTTGTCCCTATGTGCTGTTGAGTTGCCTGCAATTTATAGTGACCCTATGCTCAATAGCTCTAAATGCTGCCCTATCCTGAGCCAATCTTACTGTCTGAGACATGTCTTTCTCTATTACTCCCATTACTATGTCAATCCATCTCCTTCTGGGTCTTCCTCTCTTGCACTATCCCTCCATCCCATCAAGCATGGTGTCCTTCTCCAAAGACTGGTCCTTCCTGGCAAAGTACCCAAAGTATGTGAGACGGAGCTTCAAAATTCTCGCCTCCAAGGAACAACTTGGTTTAACCCTCTGTAGGACAGACCTGTTTTGTTCTCTTGGCAGGCCATCGTATGTTCAATACTCTTCTCCAGCACCACAGCTCTGATGCAGGGCAAGTAACTGCAAAGACCATGTCCTAGATCAGGCACACCTTAGTCTCTAACCCTGTTACTTTTTAGTACTCTGAGGAGGTCATTGATTGCAGATATTCCTAATTCAATTTGTCTTTTGATTTCTTGACTGCTGGTGCCAAGAGTGTTGATTGTGGAGCTGAGCAAGCTGAAATTCTTGACAATCTCAGTCTCTTCTCCATCTATCATGGTGGTGCCAGTTGGTCCAGTAGTGAAAATCTCTCTTTTTGATGTCCTTGACCTTCTGCAGCAAAAGCTTCAGGTCCTCCTCTGTTTTGGCAAGCAAAGTTATCTTGTATTTATACTGCAGATTGTTAATAAGTCTTCCTCTAATCTTGATGCCACATTTCTCATCGTAAAATCCAGCCTCCCCAAATGATCTGTTCTGCATTCAGATGTGGATAGCAAATGTATATAAAGACTGGCAAGTCCCAGGTCTCTAGGCCAGACCTCAAGAGAGAAGGGTTCAAGGTTAACCAGTTCAAGTCACTAGCAGGCAGATAGAGTGTTAGGGTGCTGGCTTCAGAGTCAGATGAATCTTTATAACCATGACCTCCGTGGTTATAAAGACCTGACCTTGGAGGCTGCCCAAGTACAGCAGGCCACTACTTCCTGTCTGGAGGTGACAAACCAAAAAGCCAGATGTAGGTTCTAATGAAAGGCTCTCTAGCTTTGCCAGAGAGTCCAAACATACATTCAACACAAGTCACCTTCCTGAGGAGATAGACCCTGCATCAGATCAGGTTGTTCATGTGTTTACAGAACCACCTCTAATCCTGCTTTATTCAACACTGTAGAGGTTAGAATTTACAATATAGGACAGTTACATTTTGCTCATTATGGCCACGTTGACACACAGTTGTTGTTGTTAGGTGCCATCAATCGAATACTACTCACAGTGACCCTATGAACAAAAGATCTGAACTCAGTGCTATCCTGCACCATCCTCACACTTCCTGACACACAAGAGCCCATTGCAACAGTCACCATGCAATCTACCTGGTTGAAGGTCTTCTTCTCCTTCACCAACCCTCCAGCCTTTCCCACAACATATCCCTCTCCAAGGAATAGCAGCACCTCCTAGCATCATGTCCAAAGTATGTGAAGTGAAGCCTCATCATTCTTGCCTCCAGAGAGCATTCCACCAGAATATATCTGTTCATTCTCTTGGCTGTCCATGGGATCTTCAGTGTTCTTCTCCAACACTACAAACTCCAAGGTGTCAATTATCTTTCTGTCATCCATATTCATTGTCCAGGTCTCAGATGCATAGCTAACAATTGGAAAGACCATGGTCTGAATCAGAAAATCAGATAATCATATGGTATACTATGTAGGGGATGAAAAACAGAAGAATGGTGTTGCATTCACAGCCAAAAAGTCCATTTCAAGTTCTATCTTGAAATACAAGTGACAGGATAATGTCTATACATATGCAAGGAAGACCTATTAACACTACTTTTACCCAAGTATATGCTCCTACATCTAGTGCCAAAGAGGAAGAAATTGAGAATTTTTACCAAATTTTGCAGTTGGAAATTGACTGTGAATCAGGATGCATTATTGATAATTGGTGACTGGAATGCAAAAGTAGGAAACAGTGAAGAAGGAACAGTAGTTGGAAAATATGGGCTTGGTGACAGAAATGAAGCTGGAAATAGAATGGTTTAATTTTATGTTTACAATTGCAAATACTTTTTCTAAAAGACACAAAAGATGACTTTACAAGTGGATTTCACCTGATGGGCTTCATAGGAATCAAACTCACTAGATTTGTGGAAGAAACTGTTGGAGAAGTTCACTATCAATAGTCAAAACTAGTCCAAGGGCAGACTGTGGGTTAACCATCATAACCATTGACAGCACCACTATGACCACCAGTGTTATCATCATCACCACCACCACTGACATCACTGTTACCGCCACCATCACCATTCCTACCACCACCTCACCACCACCACCACCACCACCACCACCTCTACCACTGCCGTTGATATCACCACCACCACTGTTCCCATCACCAGCATCATCAAGTACATCCTTCCCTAAGAATTCCATCTCCCAGCCCTACTTTAAAGAGCTCTGGTAACACTAAGTGGCGTGCTACAAACTCAAAGGTCAACATTTCGAATATGCCAACAGTTATTTGGAAGAAAAATAGACAGTCTCCTCCCACAAAGACTCACAGATCTGGAAATTTGAGGGAGGGCTGCTGTGAGTTTGGATCGACTCCACAGCAATGTGTTTGTGTCAGCCCTACTTTCTGGATTAAATAGTAAGAACATGTGGAAGTGTTGGCCATCGGTGCAGTGTTGAGAATGGCACCATGGCTGCATGGCTATGATGCTATTCATTTTCAAAGACAAAGCAGAGCCAAGAGATGTGCCAGGGCCATCGTACTAAGGGATGCTAGACCTCGCATCCACGTTTCTTGGGGAGGATAGCTCTGTCTCTGACCCGCAGTGCCACTTGGCGAAGATGCCTCTCTTGGACTGGACTGCTCCTTGAGGGAGACCGACTCTCACTGTTGCCATGCTTCTTCCACAGGCATCTCCCTCAGCGCACTCCCCATGTACCTGAATGAGATCTCACCCAAAGAAATCCGTGGCTCCCTGGGGCAGGCGACTGCCATCTTCATCTGCATTGGTGTATTCATCGGGCAGCTGCTGGGCCTGCCTGAGCTGCTGGGAAAGGTAGGTGTGACTTTCTGGACAATCATGTCTATTCTCCTCTTCTTAGCACTTCCGAGGTGACACGCTCCCCTGAAAGTTTGGGTATTTCTGAGGCTTTACGCCTCTGAGTTAAAGTTGGAGAAAATTATTGGTATGTTCTCCTGTACGCATCATTTCAAGATGCTTACATCTTCTTGACTCCTGAGTTTTTCTTTTCTAAATGGATAAGGAGCCCAGTGAGTTAATGCGTTGGGCCATTACTCTTTTGACCATCAGCCGTTTGGATTTACCAGCGGCTCTCAGGGGAAAGATGAGGCTGTCTTCTTCTGTTAAGATTCACTGTGAAGTCTCGGAAACTCAATGGAGAGTCACTATGGGCCAGAATCCACTCTACAGCAGTGGGTCTCGGTGGGTAAATACACAGGCAACTGTACTGTCTTCTGTTTTGAAAACAGGCAGATCTGAAATCACTTATTAGCTGTGTAGTTCTTATATGCTGGAGAAGAAGAGTGCTAAACGCCCCGTGAACTGCCCCAAGACAGCAACCAATTATGTCTTGGAGAGGGTGTAGCCAGAGTGCTCCATACTTTGAGCATGTTGTTAGGAGGAAACAGTCCTTTGGAAAGGACATCATGTATGGAAAGGCGGAGGGTCAGAGAAGGAGGGGAAGACCCTCAGCGAAATGGATTGAGGCTGCTTATGACAGGAGAAGGGGCAGATCCATCATTCCTAGGGCCGCTGTGTTGGGGTCTCCTGGATGGCACCTGACAGCAGTTCCTATATGTGGCCTCTCGTGTGAGTCACTTTATGAGACCTCAGCCTTTGTTCTTTGGAAGAACAGCTTGAGAGAGCTTCCTGCTACTTAAACTCTGAGGAGTAATCATTTTAAAATTTTTTTAAAATTTTAATTGTGATTTTAATTCAAGTTTACAGAAAGTTGGATTTTTATTCAGTCATTGTTGCACATTTTCCTCCCTCCACTTTCTTTACCCCTCCACCAGTTCAATTTCTTTCTTATTTTTAATATTCATTCATTCTTGCACATTTTCCTCCCTCCCCACCCCCTTCCCCTCCTCATCCCCCAGTCCTCTTAATGTACCTCTTATTCTGAACCTTTGTCTTACACATAATGCCTGATCATATATTCCTTGTAAACAGTTCTCTCCCTCATCTGTTCCAATACAGTGTTCACTATCTATCCACTCTTTTCCTACTGGAGTTGCTGTCTTTGTACTAGTTCTTCAGAAAGGCAGCTTTGTCTTCTCTTCCAAGGGGCTTGATACCTTTGCCTGGGCTGTGTTGATTGACATTTTCTGGGCAAGCTGTAAACAATTGATGATTTAGTAAATTGTCTGATGATTAAAGCACAGGTAATTGACGTTTGGTGGAACTCTTCTCTGGTGAAAGGCACTGCCTTATAACTGATGAGAGTCAGACTGTAGGTCATGGTTGTTGTAAGGGGCTGTTGAGTTGACAACTCATTGTGACCCTATGAATAAGAGATCTGAACCTTGTCCTGTCTTGCACTGTCCTCTCAATCACCAACGTGCCTGGCCCTATTGTTACAGTCACTATGTCAATCCACCTTGTTGAGGGTCTGCTCTGATCATGCACATTTTCCAGCGTGATGTCTTTTCCAACCATGTGGCCAGGAAGGACCAGTCCCTGGAGAAGGACATCCTGCTTAGAAGGATGGAGAGACAGTGAAGGAAAGATGCCAGATGAGATGGATTGATAGAGTGACTGGGGTAGGCGTGTCAGAGTCAGTGAGACTGGCTCAGGACAGGGCAGGCTTCAGGGCTACTATGTATGTAGGTTCGCTATGAGTCGCAGGTGATTCAATGGAGCATAACACCAACAGTGCCTCCTAATGCAGGAGCTCTGGGGGCCTAGTGGTAAGAAGCTGCCCTGCAATCCCAAAGGCATGTGGTTCAAATCCACCCACTGCTCTGTGAGAAAAGGATGGGCAATCTCCTCCCATGCAATTTACTGCTTCTACAAGGCCACTGGAGAGTCAGCTAAGGGTCAGTTCTAACTTGATGGCACATAATCACCACCACCACATGTCCTTCCTAATAAAGTGTCCAAAATATATGAGATGAAATTTCACCACGCTCACCTCTAAGGAGCCCCCTGTATGCACTTACTCCAAGGCAGGTTTATTTGTTCTTGGTGTAGTCCATGGGATATTCAGTGCTTTTCTCTAACACGACAGTTAGAAGGCACAAATTCTACTTTTCTCATGCTTGTTCATGATCCAACTTTCAGGATGTATAGGACGTAATTTTTAAAAGATCATGGTTTGGAGGAGGTGCACCTTACTCTTTAAAAAGACATCCTTGCTCTTTAAGGTATTTGGAGAGGTCTATGGCAGCAGATTTTTCCAGTGCAGCACATCTTTTTTCTTGACTACTGCTACTCAAGGTCTTGATTCTGTATAAAATTAAAGCATTGTCAACTTCCATCTTTTCTCCATCTAACGTAATGTCACCTACTGACTCAGGGTTGAGGATTTTTGGTTTTTTTATGTTAAGATGTAATCCACATTGAAGGCTGTATTGTTTGATCTTCTGCAGCAAGTGCTTCAAGTCCTCCTCACTTTTCAGCAAGCAAAGCTGTGTCATATGCGTAACACAGGTTGTTGATGAATCTTCCGCTGCTCCTCATACCACATTTTTCTTGACTTCAACTTCTCAAATTATTTGCTTTGCATATGAAATGAATAGGTGTGGAGAAAGGACACAACCTTCACATGGTTTTCTAGGCCTCTTTGGATCAGAGAGACACCAGCTAAGAGCTGGGCTGTTGTAGACCCTGAGGCATGTGGAAGCTGAATGTCTCTGAAGCTGCTACATTGCCTGGAAGTTCTACCAGTCAAAGCAGAGAGGACTAATGATAGAGAGATCAGACTATGAAGAACTGTTGAGAAAACAAAGCAAGCTAATATCTCTCTGTGAGCTGAGCCTGTTAGCAGTAGAAAGGCCAATGACAGAGTGGCTTATGACAAAGAGGCCTGGTAGGCAGTAGCTGTTGCTAAGAGAGTTGCAGCTTCAAGCTGTTATGCAGACTGTGAGCTGGACCACCAGTTACTAGCGGAAAGGCCAGCAGTGGAGAGGGTTATGGCAGAGAAGCCAAGCATAGAGAGAGGCCTGACAGCAGAAAACTGGTCCAAGAGCTGTTCTGCTCAAAAGCTGCCTTGCCCTCAAGAACTCGGGAGGGACATCCTCTCCACTCAGGGACCTTTCCAGAGCTTGTCTCTGTGCTTCCTGACCTTTATCCCCGGTTCTTCCTATAATTTTCTAGTTAATCCTGATCTTAGGCTGTTTATGGTTACTTCCTTAATAGACCACATAATTGTGAGTATGGTCTTCTAGTTCTGGGTCACCATTGGAACAGATTATTGAGCCCAGCAGAGAAGTAGGAAGTGCCGTGGATGGGGGGGGGAATTATTTGCATCAGATAGCTGGAGAGTGATGGTATGGCTGATCTCCTCTTCAAAGGAGTCCGTCTTGGGCTGGTCCGCATTCTTATTTCTCATGAGTTTAAACAATTCCTTATGTTGCACTACAGTGACCTTGGGTAATTCATTTTACTTATGAGTCCCAGTTCCCTATTCTATACAATAGATACAAGAACTATGAAGAAGACACTCTCGACACTTCCAAGCATAATGTCCTTCTCAAAGGACTGGTCCTTCCTGGCCACATACCCAAAGTATGTGACACAGAGCTTCAATATTCTTGCCTCCAAGGATCACCCTAGATTCACCTTCTCCAAGCCAGGGCTGTTTGTTCTCTTGAAGGTCCATGGTGTGTCCCATATTGCTCTCCAGGACCACAGCTGAGAGACTTGGAAGAGTAGAGTGTTAGTGCAGGAGAGGAAGACCCTGGACGAGAGAGTGACTGTGGCAACAGAGTCAGGTGTGTCAGAGACAGTGAGTTTGGCTCAGGATAGGGCAGGGATCAGAGCTGTTGTTCACGGGGACTCTATGAGTTATTGTTGACGTGATGAGAGCTTATGAGGCCGTTGTAGAGACGGAGAGGACAGAGTGGGCTCAAGTCCACAAGACCTGTTTTCTGATTATCCAGTCACGTATTTAGGACGTCATCTAAAATCTCAAAGCATCTTTAAATGAGCAGCTTGTCTCTAGCACCATGGAACTGAAGTGGAGAGAGGTGAGATACAGAACAAGTGAAAACATTAAAGCTAAACATGAACCTGGGGCTGTATGCTTCCAACCCTAGGTGTGGCTGGTGTTATGGACAAACTCACATGTTTTGCTGGAAATTTAGGGGCTTCATGAGGAGAGTCCTTCTCTGTCTTAGTTGGCTGACCTTCACCAAGCCTAGATCCTGGAGAAATCCAGCGTGGTGGTTCCATGATGACAGGATCGACTGACATGCACCAATTTTTGTATTTCAGATACTCTAGGTCACCTCAGATGCACCTGATTCTACTCCTTTATTATCAGTCCTTTTCAGTTATGACAATATACACTTTTGTTTGCCTCCTCTACAAACTCACACTTTATTTCTGCAGTTGCAAAATATGTTATTATATTTATAATTAGAATAAGTGTATTGAAAACAGTCTCCTCACCAAAATGAGTTTCCACATTAAAGAGACTTTTTTTGCCCTGCTGAAGATATTCAAAAGCTCTGAGAATAAACACTTTGTGTAATGATGAAAATAATATAAAAATCACAGCCTCAGCTCTTTAGACATCAGAATATATTTAAAGTCAAATGACAGTACCATAGATCTCCAACAACAATAACAAAAATAAATACATATCACAACCTGGCTTGCTGAAACGGAGGCAGACCTGAAGTACTTGCTGCAGAAGGTCAAGGACTGTAGTCTTTAATATGGATTGAAGCTTAACACCAAGAAGAGAAAAATTTTCACCACTGGGCCAATGGCACACCATGATGGATGGAGAAGAGATTGAGGTTGTTAACAGATACAGCTTGTTTGACTTCATAATCAACACTCTTGGCACTAGCAGTCAGGAAATAAAA